AAAGTAATTTAACCTCTCTACCTATGTCTACACTGCAGCTGAGTGAGTCTGCTAGTGTGGGAAGAGGGGCTCATGCTTGTGTACTGAACTGCAATGTGGACATTCCACCGTGCACACAAACACAGGCTCTCAAGCCTGATCCCATAGGTGGGGGGTGGAGAATGTGCAAGAAGTCCTTCATCACGGTGTGCATCCCCTGCAACTGCAGCCTCTAGAGCAGGGACTGCTTGGCATGCTTGGCACATGCTTCTTCCAGGGACTGAAACTCCTGGAAGGGAGTGCAGTCATAGCCCTGCCCCTCACTTCTGTACCAGCATGAGACATGGCTGGCAATGTCACTGTCCTTCTGGCACAGCCTTTCCCTGTGCTCCTACACAGCCAGTGCAGCAGGTCACCTGCCCCAACACAAGGCTGTGTCCATATCACACAATCTAGTCCCCTGTGGCTGCTTGCATGGCCCCAGTCCTCAGGGTCACTCTGACCACCTTAATGTTGATGCGCAGTCTCTGCGCCAGCTTCTCCAAAGCTCAGTGAGGTTGTCTGTTGTTAACAGAGTCATTCTGCCACCGGTTATTTCTGACCACCTCTGACCAGTTACTTTCAGCTGTCTTTTCTTTCTGGTCATAATTCAGTGTCTTCAGACAACATGTGGTTCTTTACTCAGGTGAGTAAGGAATCAGGAGTCCTCAGAGTCAAGGTATCCCTAAATGATGCACAGGACACAGCTGGGAAAACTAACTAGAGCTGTCCCAATAGGAACACAGGGGAGCCTGCAGCTGCCACTTTCCAAGTCCCAAACAGGTGCATACCCAACAGGAACAAGATGCTTTCAGCAGCCAGGCTCCATAAAGAAAGGTCAAAAACACAGTTACTGGACCTCATCTTTCTTGAGGAATTTACTTTCCTGTACAGTAGTTTCCATGGCTACAGAAATGTAACCATTTTACATTGCACAGCATAGCAGTGACAGAGCTGTCAGACCCAGCTGATCAGGAAGAGGCTTTTGTTGCTTTTTTTTCCCTCTCCTTCTTACCAGGGTACAGTTTTGTATTCTTCAAACATTTATGCTGCTTGTGTCTCAGGCTGATGTGACACTTGTACAGTGATCACCCCTGACTTGTATGAGAAGCAGATTGTTTTGTTTTTTAAAAAGGCAGTGGTTCCAAATTACTTAATTTTAATTGGCACTTCAGGGAGGAGGGTGTGTGTGTGTGTGTGCAACCTGATGTGATTTCAATGAGGAGGGAAAGGGAGCTAACAGATAGTTGATTTAGTATGGGAGTTCCTACAAGCTATACATTATTGCTAGGAGGGCAGTTAAAAATAAACTACTTCTGTTTTCAAGGAGTACAGTGGGAAAAGACACACCATTTTAGTGGATGCTATTGGTGTTCACAGAGCAAAACTGTGGGTCGAAAAGACCAATGGCCCTATATTTTCCACAACTGATTAGTGACTTTCGGGGATCCTGTGATGAGGGACACTCACCTCTTGTGAGGGCTTCCTGTTGGTTGGGTGCGAAGCTGCACACTCTCTCCTGTGGATGCCCCCTGTCAATTGTCACCTTGTCAGGCAGGTCTTCAGTGGCTCAGCCCTCCAGCTAAGTCACACTGTCAAACATGAATAAATAAGCCCCTTCCGGAGTAAAAGGTCCAAGAGGGCCTGTTCCTGTGCCCTTGGTAATGTCAGCAGCCCTGCATCTGGGCTCAGTTCTCAGCCCCTTCTGGGCTAGCTTTAAGTCTTTGTCTGTCCTGGTATAAAAGTGCCCCCCGGGCTTTCTCCCAGGAGACTCTAAGTCCTTTAGCTGTTCTCTGGTGTCCCTTTTAATCCTGCCATACACTAGGGCCTCTAAAACAAGCCTTATCGCCTTCTTGGGGCGTAAGCTACCCTGCCAGTGGCGGGGACCCTGGCCTGCCCACTACTCTTACCCTACAAATAGCAGCCACATGCTACTTCCTTTAATTGCTGCTGCTCTTCTCTGGGCCACTTCCCATGCAGACCCTTCCTCTGCACCCTGACCCCAGGGCTGACGTTCTTCCTCACAGAGTGCCAAGGTCACCAGAATCCATCTTCTCAGTCTCCTTCCAGCTCCAGCCACCAGCAAGGAGCCCCTCCCTTGCTCCTCTGGGCCCTACCAACCACTGCCCTGCGCTCAGGCCCAGCAGCTCCTTTTTACTGAGCCTGCTGGGCTCTGATTGGCTGCTTCCTTGCAACCTCTCTAGGCAGGCCTGGAGAGGTTCCAGCTTCACTGCTCCTTTCCTAGGGCAGGGTGTGGTAGGACTGCCTCAAAGGGCCTGGTACAACCTTTCATAGGTCCCTACATTTTAAAGAAACTTAAAAATCAGGCTACTTTAAGATGTCAAGTTGTGGATCTAAAATTACTAGCTATGTTTGAAAATGTAGGGCAAGGAACCCACTGAGTCTGGCCTAGACGCCTAACAAGTATTGCTGCTGTATTCACGAATAACTGCTTCCTGATCAAGTACCTGCCTCACGTAACATAAGTCATTCTGGCTTCATGTAGGGTTTATTAGAGAGTTATACTGTAGGGGCAGTTTGACCTACTGTAATTTCATGGGGGAGGAGGGGAAATTGAGTAGGTATTAATGTTCTTCTTTAATAGTAATATATTAGTTTATATGTAAAAAGGTTAGGAATAATATCCCTTCTGTACATTCACATGGAAAACTAAAGGTGAGGTTTCATTAAGATGTTCCCTCCATGTCATACAGATGTCTGTTTGGGATTCTCACTGTGTACTCATAGGTGCTGAGGGTGCTGCCGCACCCCTGGCTTGAAATAGTATCCATCATATACAGGGTTTACAGTTTGGTTCAGTGGCTCTCGGCACCCCCACTATACAAGTTGTTCCAGCACCCGCGTGTGTATTTTGTTGTATTGGTCTTTGGTAGTCCTGACCGTGCACTGTGTCCAGCCTGTTGGCTGAGAGAGCCTTCCTTGCCCTCTGCACTTGGTGTTTGAAATGTTTGAAAGTTGGTTTGAGGTTTCAGATGGTCCCTTCCAGTCCTAGGATTCACAGCTAGTGGCAGTGAGAAGTATCCAAGGCAGCACCTAGAGTACTTCAAAAAGGACAAGAATACTTTACAAGTTAGCCACGTGGAATGGGCAGGGTCTGTATAAATGGACAGAAACTCAGGTGAAGTCCAAGGGTCAGCTGTGGAAATTCTCTTTCAGGCTTCCGGTTTACATGTGGGGTGAAATCCTGGCCAGCAGAATTCAGTGGGAATTTTGCCATTGAGTTTAAATGGGGCCAGGATTTGTCCCACTGATTTTTTTTCCCAGGTGCAACCAAAATAAAAACAGGCTCATAATGTCTCTGATAACTTTGTTCAGCTCCATGAAGGGAATCTTTGAACTACCAAAACAAGCAATATAAACCAGACGTTATCCTGTCATACCAAGGCTCTGTTATGGATCATATTCCTTATTAAGGAGAATATAAATATTTAGTAGGTCAACAGGTGGCTTGTTCACAGTCTACAAGCACCTACATGGGGAGAAGATTTCTGATAGCAGACAAAGGCATAACAAGACTAAAAGGCTGGAAGTTGAAGCTAGACAAATTCAGACTGGATATAAGGTCAGTGAGGGTTAATAGCCTGTGGAACAAGTTACCTAGGGATGCAGCAGATTCTCCATCACTTGGCATCTTAAAATCAAGACTGGATATGCTCTAGTTTAACCACAAGCCATTGGATTTAATGAAAGAATTACAGGATGAAATTCTGAGGCCTGTATTTTGCAGAAGGTTAGACTAGATGATCATCATAGCATGCTCTGGCCTTAAAAATGTATGAATCTGAAATCTTTGGATTCCACATATGTAAGAAGAAAATGTTGTCTAGTGCAGTGGTTCTCAAACTGTGGTCCGTGGACCACAAGCTCCATTCAGGTGGTCCACACATAGTTCCCTCTACGGTGCGCACCTGAGGGGCCACACACAACAGAATGAAGGGCCACCCACCTAATTAGTGGTGCAGTGCAGGCATGGCTCTACTAATTAGGTGTCTGGGTCCTGGAGAAGAAGCACATGTAAGGTGATGTGCTGGGCGGGGGGGGGGGAGAAGAAATAGGGGGTAGGTGGGAGAGGGCAGTGAGGTGAGAAGAGGGGGTGGTGGGAAATTTGGGACATGCAGCTCTGCAGTGGGCAGAGAAAAAAGGGACTTTCCCCAGCTCCAGGGTTGTGGCTGCCAGGGACAGAGGGCTCTCCTTCCCAGCCTCAGCTCTGTGGCTGCTATGGCGGGGGAGAGGACCCCCACTCCTTCCCAGCCCCAGTTCAGTGGCTGCCACGGTGGGGGAAGAGAGGGCACATCCATTGCATTAGAAAGGTAAGACTATTGATATTAAAATATGAGTTGTGTGCTTTTATTTGTAGAACATAATTATTTTTAATATAGCGCTTTTATCCTAAGCGCTTTACAATAGTTAGCTAACGGTACAAACAACATTTGGAAAGATCATTAAGTGGTCTACCGAGACCCTCAGCAATTTTCAAGTGGTCCATGAAAAAAGTGAGAACCACTAGTCTAGTGTCTAGAGCCCATGACTAGATATCAAAGTTCTGGGTTTTATTCCCATCTGTGTCACTGACTCGCTGTCTTGCACTGGACATGGCACTGCTGCCACATCCTTTGCTGTAAAATAGGGATGTGTCATGTCACAGGGTGTTGTGAAGTTATCTAATGTTTGTAAAGCGATTGAGCCTCAGATGAATGGCACTATAAAAGTGCCAAGTGAGTTTATCAATCACTATTACTATTTATATCATTCTTCAGAGGTAATGGCATATTTGATCTAAAAATAGTAGCAATCAAAATACTTCCTTAATTCCAACTGTATTAGCTGAAACTTGGTTCAGCAGATTTGTGAAGGAACAAAAATGAAATTTAGCTTGAACTGGAAATTGCATGGGAGATTGCCTCTCCTTAATCCCTTGTGGGATAAAAATCTTCACTTGTGATCCATAAAAGGAGACAAAATTAATGAAGAATTTACAAACATCTATATTTCAGTGTTAGGATATGTGGCACGGTTAGGAAAACAGTTAACTGAAGACACTGATTTATACAACTCTGACTATTTCAGGAAATGAGGTTTACATATTACAGTTTAACAAGATAAAAGGTCTCCCACAAGATACATGTATGACAGACAATTTATCTGAATTTGACATAACACAGCATCAGATACACATGTAATGTGATGAAACAATGTCAGGTCATTTCTGGGTTATGAAACATACAACCTTTTTGCATAAGGCAATTCAAATATAACTCTTAGTTTTAAATCACAACATACCTCAAGCAGCATGCAGGAAAAAGTCATTTATTTTGTACATTTGAATGACATACCTTGCAACAAGTTTCCATTTTATGTATTTAGCTCAAGAGGATATAAACCATTCAAATAATATATATTAAATCAGCAATTGTATTTACTGGAATAAAGATTATCGGTTTTGGCAAAAATAAAACTATTTGAATTCACCTCATTAACAAAATGCACAGTGATCATAAACCCAATTCTTCTTACAACCATTTTCATGAATAATTTCTCTGTAATACAGCAACCGTATAATTCTGGATTCATAGAGCTGAATGTACATAGTACTAGGAATCAATCTTCATGTAGTTCCCATGGCTACAAAAAGTTTCTAACTATTTCAAATCCCATGATGAAATACCATTGCTATACAAACATCATTCATTTGATGTCCAGATTCTTAACTAAATACAGTATGATGTTAGGTGTTTTGTGGAAACTGGCTCATGCACCTCAATCACACATAACTAATGTATAAAATTAATTTTCTAAATTTCAAGGTATCTAGGCCCATGTCCAGTAAAGCACTTAAGTATGTGCTTAACTTTAAAGTAATTTAAAAGTTAAGCACATGTTTAAGTGGTTTCTTGAATCAGGGACCTCATTCCTTTACCACCACTTAGTTCTAATGATATTTCTTTATAGATTAAGCTTTCAAGAAACTATTAATCTGCTCAGAAATAAAACACCTGAGCCAAAAATAGCAGCATTGTTGATGGATTTGAATGGACATGGCTGATAGTATATTTTCAAGGAAACAAGTCTAAAAATCACAAAGGATAAGAAAAGTGAAATTCTTCCAAGCATTATAACAGTATTTAAAAATGAAATTAACAAAGGGAATCAAAATTTTCTCTTTACAAAACACCCAATTTGTCATTCCTCCCAGACTCTCTCTGTTAAAAGGATGTAGTACTTTTGGACTGTTTAAGCTTGTGTAGGGTGACTAAACTTCTTCCTGATGTATTATTTTACATTGAGGGCTCAATCCTGCTTGCCTTATTCCTAGCACAGTCAATGGGATTGTTGTGGTAGGCATCAATGAAACTTCTTTTTGACTTCAGGGAGAATTCTGTGCTTACAGTTTTGGAACTAACTGGAATATTCACAGGCATGAGAGGAGAAGGATTTGGGGCCCATTGAAAATCAATGGAAAGTCTCCCATTGATTACAAGGGACTCTGGATCTGGCCCTTATTTCTTAAGGTGCCAATTTAGCAAAGCACTTAAGTATGTATTTAAAATTAAGCATATGCTTAAGTGCTTCACTGAATCAGGACCTAACTCATTGTTCAAGGTGATTCAAATGCTTGAAAACAAATAGTGCTGATCCTGTGCCTTGCTGGGTTTCCTCAACGTCCATGAACCTCAGTGGAGTGTTTCTCCTGTTGGGTTCTGAGTATTCCCAATCAGAATCTTGCAAGATTGGCCCAATAAAGAGATAGTGTCCATAAACCAAAAATCATAAATAACCTCCACTTTAGTCAGGTGTACCATTAGAATGACCCTAACCTTGCACACAGCCAGTGGAATTACTCATGTAAGTGAAGTTACACAATGGCATAAGTGTTCAGAGGATTGGGGCTGTAGGTGATGTCTTTGATTCTCTAGAATTCTCCAAGGTTTTAAACTGTAATCTGCTGGTAGTAATAGAAGAACTAAGGGTTTACAATTTTTCAACATTATCCTTCAACATTTTAATATGACTGACAAAGTCACCTCATGTCTTCCAATTACTTTATTTAATGCTCCTATTAAAAAAAAGCCTGGCACACTTCTTTGTCCCTAAATATACAAAACAGTGATCTCCACAAGATAGTGGGTGAAAGAAAGGGTGGTGGTACCTTCACAATGACATTCATAGCAAAAGAGAAACCACACTTTACAGATCTTGAGCAAACAATCTTTGGCAGAATATTTTCAATAAATTATTACAAATATGTTCTGCATTTTTCCATTTTGAATATTTCACTTTTAGTTCAGCTTTATTGATATTCATTCACTACTCTATGTTAATAGGAAAACACCACAAATATAAAAATATATGAGCTTAGCACATTTTCTGGATAACACAACTCTCTTCCATTATTTCAAAATTTGCAATTAATACCACAGAAAATATTAAACAGGTGTTGCTAACAGTAGGGGTCAGTTTAGAAGATCACAAGTTTTTACAATGTGTTCAGAAACACTGTACTTGATCTTTTTCAAAGAATTAGCATTGAAACAAGCTAAATATGCTGTATTATCATCTACTTTTGCTGTACATCCTAATTCTAAATCAGGTGATAACTGAATCTCTCCTTGTAAGGCTTATAGATTTTGCATTCAGTGGCATATGCAAAATTTATATGCAAGAGATGGTAAATAGGGGTAAAATGCAAGGCTTGATGTACTAAGAGTTTCTAAAAAAAATAACAGACATACTATACAGTATGTTTTACTTTTGAGAAAAATTTGCACTCTCTCTCCCCCATGAAGGTGTTTATTTCCCTTCCTTCCTGAATCCACAGAAGATAAACCATTTGTAAGGTTAACTTTGTACAGCACAGTATACACATAATGGTCTTAATCATTTTTCTTCTATACCCCAAGTCCTGTTCAGAGTTTACTCAACCAACCCACTCCAGGAAGATTTTATTCCCAATCTTAGAACACTGTTAAAACTACTTACTGTTCCCCTTGCTTGCAATGAGATTGACAAAAATATACACTTACTTAATAAATCATTGTGAAAATATTTTAACACCAACAGGGTTTTCCTTCTGAAGCAGCAAGGACCACAATCTTGTGCTTTTGGAAAGGAGGTTTCCCCATTCCAGACATCCCCCTGATCTTCTCTTCAGCATACACCACTGATTACATTTAAGTTTTTTTAATACAGCATGTACAGAATATATAGCATTACATAGTTATTTCCCAATAAACTACAAGTGTCCCTCACATGTGACCGCTTCGATTAACAAATATTTATTGTTGAAACGTGGGAGACTTCCCATTATAATAATAGCTGTAACAACAAATATTATGGCTTTTCTGGTAGTGTAGCTGCATTACTTGTAAAGTAATCATGAAAGACATTGAGAGGTTAAACTTTTTTTCTGGGGGATCAGGGCGGGGGGAGGAGAGACATTCTTAACCAACAACCAAACATAGGGTTGCATCTGGCAAATTGAGGTCACTCATCTGCATATCTTATTTCTAGCTGTATATACAAAGCTAAAACAGGCAGGGAAAATAAACTCAATCCAAACTTTTGAGACCCGCATAATGATTTAAATCCACACGAATCTATTCTCCTCTTCCAACGCTTTGCAGTGGCATCCTTTAATAGGAAGGATCTGTAGACAATGCTATTTATTCATGGTATAATTTATTGTGGAGGTGTAATATGTGCAGCGCTGTTGGCTTTTAGCCGGGGTGAAAGAACGGAACTCACATTTTGAACGATAAATGACTAAATGAGCATGCAAAGCAGAGAGAGTGGCTGGGATGTAGTAACAGTTAGGCTAACTAGCAGGATAGTCATAACTCCCACCCCTATGTACACACACTGTTAATCATTTCCTGAGAGGGGTGAGAATATGTTCCGACCAGTATCCTGAGCAGAGGAGAAGTGGCGGCTGCAATAGGCAGGCACAAGAGGAAAACACAATCTTGTCATTTCCCCCATAGCAATGAACAAATGAAGTAGTGATAGCTAATCAGAATGACCCTTCAGAAGCAGCTGGCTAGTTTGGCAGGCACTTTAGCAATGAATGTGTGTTGCAGCACACTACAGAGAGGAAAGGAAATATTGCCTTAGTAGTGCAACAGGAACATAGGGAACATGCAATGAGTGGCCCAAGAGAGACAGGGATTGGGGAGCCTTGTTCATGCCCAAAGAGACTTCTAAAGGTGCAGATACATTTCAGGCTTAGTGCTACAGCCCCAGGAATACTTGGGCTAATTTCTCACACAAAGCAATGAGTGATATTTCTTGTCACTAGTATCTCTCATGTGCCTGCCTACTTGACTTTTACTGCCTCCTAGTCCCATGAATTAGGGAGCCTAAACCATACATTCACAGTTTTACCTTGCTAAGGGCGGCCCTCCCTAGAGACACAGGATTTCACTGTTGTGAATTCACCTTGGTGAACATTTGGCTTCCCACATAACCTACGAGTTCCCAATGGGTCACAACTAGGTCCAGCAGTGTCACAACTATGCATGGGTGTTGAAATGTTTGTCTCTTGTAACATGGGGTCCTGTACAGAGAACCTTCTCTAGTAATCTCATGCAGCCCACTTTTGTCTGCCCATTTCCTTCTCTCCCTACACCCTGTGTGAAGCAATGACTTGTGAAAACAGGTTTCAGTGCTTGACCCTGCTCCCATTCAAGTCAGTGGGGAAATGCCATGGATTTTAATGCCTCAGGAGTATTCTCCTACATTTTTTTTTGCATCCTCCCTTAGCTATGAAGCTCCAAGCACTAGACTTTAAAAACTGCTTGCTAATAAGATAACTGAAAATACAAATAAGCCTTTACAGAAGCTGGGTGGTATGGTCTAGTGGGTAAAGTCCGACCCTGGGAGTCAGGCTATGACCATACTGCTGAAATGCTGTGGGAGTTTGCACAAGTCACTTCATAGCTGTTTCCCTTCCCACTCATTGACTAGTTAAGTTGCAAGCTCCTTGCAGCAGGGACTGTTTTTAACTGTGATTGTATAATGGAGTCATTGAGAACAGTTGAGGCTTTCTAAGTACTACTGAAATACAAATAACAGGTTCTTACTGTGAATCCAGCAGTCTGTGGAACTACTGCACACAATCCCAGCCTGGACTAGTGAGCAACCAGTATATGACATGCTCATTCAGAGTCATCCTGGGGCTCAGTTTCACCATGATCACAATACTTTTGTGTTTAAAAAAAGAACAAAAGTTTCTAAGAACAAACAAGCAAACAGCTTGCAAACGTAAAATATTAAAGCAAATCTTCTTTCTTTGAGGATCATATACTGGAGAATGCTAAGCATTCTCAACTCCTATTCATTTCAGTGAGAGTCAAGGGTGTGCTGCACCTGGCCAGCCCAGACCCCAATAGAGAAAATTAGTTCTCTTCAGCTTTGAAAGGCCCATGTAGCAGCTCCTCAGCTGGTGTAAATTACTGCAGCTCTGCTAAAGTCAGTGGAGCTATGAAAATTTACATCAGCTGAAAAGCTGGCCCAGGTATCCAAAGGAGATAGGGGACTGAAACCAGGTCTGAGAGTAAAATGTAAAACCATTGGATTAGGAACTCTGGATTATTTCTCTCTTTGTACGACATCACACATACTAATTATTATTGAGTGTAACAGTAAACTCTAACTTGTGTGCTGTACATTAGGGTTAAACAATTTTCACTATAGCATTGCTTCATCACTTTTACTACAGTCCCCAACTTTCAGGCTCCAATATGGATGCAAGGGGAGCAGTTTATTTTAAAATATTTCCAAATTGCAGTTCCATTCATTTGAAAGTATAATGATCACTCTGAAAAAACATGCCAGTTGCCTTGGATTGATTGCAGTCATCTATTTGCAATGTGCTCCATTAAAAAAAAATTCCAAATACCTAGCTAACTAGATCATGGATTAAAGGCAAAAGCATCAAATTTGTAAGAAGTAAATCCTGATTTATGATTACCTAAAAGAGTTGTGTTTTCTACCATTTACTTCCTCAGAGGTAAACAAAACTCTTAAACAGTTAGATTGCCTATGCAAAACTTTGCTTCCTGACTGACTCATCAGAAATCTATTTATATAGGTTTCTTACCACTGTCTTCTGTGGTGACTTTGTCTCCCCTCCAGACTATTATAGCAAATCCTGCAGTCTTGGGAGTTGCTCCTCTGAAGTCAATGATAGTTTAAATGTACTAGGTAACTCTTAGGGTATGGCTACATGGCAATTAAAACCCTGTGGCTGGCCTGGGAACAGCTGACTTGGGCTTGGCTAAGGGGCTGTTTAATTGCTTTGCAGGCATTCAGGTTTGGGCTGCAACCTGGACTCTAAGACCCTGCGAGATGGAAGGATCCCAGAGTTCAGGCTGCAGCCAGAGCCACAACATCTACACCACAATTAACAAGCCCCACAGCCAGAGCCCAAGTCAGCTGGCACAGGACATCCACAAGTTTTTAACTGCAGTGTAGACATACCCTCTGTGCACACCAGCAGGGTCTATACAGATCAATTATATGTGTAACGTGTTAGTGTACTTTAGAAATCTCCTCCCTGCCCTGTAGTGACTCCTTACCCAAAATGAGACATGTCCTTAATTTGATCCTAGCACTGGTCCATGACTGAGGCTCCTCAATGCTACTACAATACAAATAAATAGTTTTTCTGGGGAAAGGCAAACAACCTGTTGCTAAGATATCATAGCCACAATGCAGAGATTTCCTGGTATTGTTGATGAAGATATGTAGATTCTGTCTAACAACAGAGCTATTAGTGACTTCTTCTTTCAGAGACTACTGAGATTTTTTGGGTTGATTATTGACCAAGGCCCAGGGAAGCTCAGTGTTTAACCCTTAGCTAATAAGCCATGATGCTCACCTCAATGGACCTCAGTATCAACTTAACCATTTTCTGCCTAAATTGAGGATTTTAAGGTATTTGGTTCTTAATACATCCCATGTCTCTTTTACACAATTATGTGAGATACAAATGGGAATATCAGCCTGGACATTGAATTTTGTGACATTTGTTCGTCACCTAAAGTTTATTTTAAGCAGAAAAGTTTGAATTTAATATACTTAGCTGTCTTTCTGGAAACCTACACAACTGAAAATAGTAACAACCAACAAATAAAACTATTCTTCAGAATTTCTGGTAGACAATCCTTTTATTGAACTATGCCCTCAAAGGATGATTCTGACTGGTTGTTTTATGCTTATTTTCAGGACTATGTCTATATCTTCTATTAAAACTGTAAAATGCTTAAATTTTTAAGAAAAACTATCCCCAGTGTTGCCTGAAGCTAAACTGTCATCAGGGAAAAATAAATAGAGCTTTCCATCTTGCTAATGTAATCAGTGTCATGCCAATGGTATTATTGCAATCTTTTGTTATCTTGAGCTACTAAAATTAGTGCATGTTTTCTGATTAATAACAAGACAAGTAGTCTTTCTACATGGTCCCTTCTTGTGCATGTCTTTATTGAAAGCTTAAAACACAAAGACTCAACATGGAGCGAACAGATGGAAATAACAATGATGATCAATTCATTTTAATCTGTTCATGGGGGATTAAATTGTCATTTAATTACATCTCCATGTTTCTTTGACTGATGGGCTTGGGTGGGTCAATGAAGCAGGCGGGATTTGAGAGGAAAGGCTAAAGGAGCAAGCTAAGCATGATAACAAGACATTGAAGAAAGGATAACCCAAATCTCATACATACACACATACACACTGCTCTAAATAATTAGTGACTTGTGATTGAAAGAGGAAACAATATTGCTTATGGCATCTGAAGAAGATTAGTCAGGCCAGTTTAAAAAAAATATATACCTTTCTGTATTAACTTTTCCTAATCAAAATAAGGAAAGGGTTTCTTTAATCAAATCCAACAGAACCCCACACCTCCAGACAATTCATCAAAAAGAAAAGCATCTGTATGCAACAATGCAGGATAAGACACAGAAAAACAGCTAATGAAAATGTGCACAGAGACAGATTTTGTGTGCATTTGCCTGTAAGCTTGGTAGGCATGTGTTTTGATTTGTCTTCTCCTTTACAAAATTCCTTCCCATAAGTCAATAATAATAAATATAAAAGTATATTAAAATCATTACTTTTCAGTGTTTCAGAGCTTTCTGCATACCAGCTTCAAAGAATCCTGTCAGAGTTGCTTAGCTGTCAAGTTCTCAATACCTGTCTTGCAGAACTCAAAAGCCTCTCCTATACAGCACAGATCTTCTCTCCTGGCAGCTTCTCTCTGGCTGTGGAGAAGCTACAGATACTGGCACCATGGCCAAGATTTTCAAAAGGAGGTGCTGCAAGTTAGGCTCCAAAACCTGTATAGTACTGTGGAGGCCACTTAATAGCAATCACAGTATAACTTTCACTTAATAGAAACATTTTGCCAAGAACCAACCCTATCCCATTGACTTCAAATTTAAAGATTCAGATATTGGCAACAGGCATGCTGCTTAGTAACAACTTTTTTTGGAAGAAAGTCCCTGCTGCAGTCTGGTTTGCAGGGCTGCAGCCAGGGAAGGAAGCTCTGGGACATGCTCAGCCCTGGGTGCAGGCAGGGTTGTGGGGCTGCAGCCAGAGAAAGCACATTCCAGTGCTTGCTTCTTTGGCCGTAGTCCCACAAACCTGCCTTTTGCTTATTGGCAGCTTCTGGATAATGGCAGCTTTTTGCTGGGAATCAAGAGGCTGCCAATAAGCGGAAGCTACTGTACTAAGTACCGTGATTTGATTTTCAAAACTGCTGAGCACGTCACACCTCCCATGGAAGCCAATGGGAGCAGATGGGTGCTCAGGACTTTTGAAAAGCAGGCCACTTCTTTAGGTGTCTCAGTATGGACCTAGGAGCCTAACTTCAATAATAATGATACCTAGCTCTTCCAAGGCACTTTTCATCCTTAGATCTCAAAACGCTTTAGCATGGTTAAGTATCATTATCCCCATTTTACAGATAAGGAAACTGAGGCATGCCCAAAATCACTCATCAGGTCAGTGTTAGAGTAGGGAATAGAGCTCTAGTTGGCTGAGTAGTAGTGTTCAATAATCTAACCCACACACCTTCTGGGTGTGGTGTTCTGTCCTATCTAGAAACACTGAGACCACTTAGAGAAAGATATAAAATGAGTCTGCTCTATAGCCTTAGCTAACAGCCAGTTAGCTTACAGCTCAAGCAGTAGAGGCTCATACACTAAACGCCAGAGGTCCTATATTTGATCCTGCCTGCCAATGACTAGGGTTCGTTGGTCTTGCACATGCACTGCCTCCCTTTAAAAAAGTCCCATCACCATAATACCTCTGTCTCTGCTAAGTAACTGCAAATAGAAATCACAGTATTGTGCTCTTCCTTCCTTCCTCTCCAGCTGTGCAAGAAGCCAGGAGATAGAACAGGGGTACTTCCCTGCTTGCAAGCCCTGGAACCCAGATTTGCAGGGAGCACCTAACATAGCTGTCTGCTGCAGTTCATTGTGTTGAATGGGAATTGTCAACATGAGATGATCCACCAATATGAAAACCTCACCAAACTTTCCCTTTTTCCAGGTAATCTGGAGGCAAAACAGGCCCTCAGGCTAACCTAGTCTTCAGCTAGAGCAACAGGTACAGAATGGCTTCACTCCTAATTGATGGCTTGGGGAGAAAGGCTTCCTCTTGCCTCAACCCTGCCAAATTCTGCTGTGAGCATTTAGGGTGTGCAGTAGGGGCAGGATCCTGGCTTGAGCATGTCATGTTAGCTGGGTTATTGTGCCACTTTCTTTGACCCAAAACTAATTTTTTTCTTTACTTTTTGATTCACTGAAAATTGTTGAAAAACATTCATTTTCAGGTTGACCCAAAACTAAATTTTCCCCTCTCATTTTTTTGTGTGAAATTGCCAAACAAAAAATCCATTACCATCCCAGCTCTATGTGTGTGCTGTTTTCTGTGTGTTACTCCTCTGCTTCAAAATAAAGTGGGGAAAAAAAAAACATTTCAGTCTATTTGGGGCAAAAAAGGAAGAGAGGACAGGAGATAAAGAAAAAAATACCTGTCTTGTTTTTGAGCTTTGTGCAAAGCTATGATGTTTTGTGAGCTTTAAATGTAGGTAAATGGAGAGATTCGCTCAAGCTGAAGTCCTCCGCATAAGAATTACATTGTCTTCTGCTCCCATCAGTCATGCATTAATCTTCCTCTTGGCACTAAAGTATAGGAACTGGCATCTTTCAAATTCTCTCTATTTTAGAAAAAAAGTTGCAAGGAGACAGATAAACTCTGGCGAGTTTGAAAGGCTTTTAGCACAAAGAACAGATATGGTATTGTGGGACAAGTTCATAGATTCCAAGGCCACAGGGTAACATTGTGATCATCTAGTCTGGACTCCTGTATAACACAGGCCATAGAATTTCCCCAAAATAATTCCTAGGTAGATCTTTTTGAAAAATATTCATTGACTTCAAAGCCTGCAGTGAACTAGTATAACTTTCTGCGTAAACACAGAGCCCAGGAAGGGGCCAGTTAACTGGAATAGCTGCGGAGTTTGACAGGTAGGGAAATGCAGCAGAAATGTTTAACATTCAACAATCTAATTCATGAAAGAATTAAAACAACACAATAAAAGGGATGCACATTAACATGTGACAGAAGAATTCCTTTGGAAGCAACACTAAGCTATCTGAACTAGCAGCATGGCTTGCTGTGCCCATGTTCTCTTCTCATACTGTGAAGGCTGTGAGAGTTTTACTTCATTTCTACAAACTCAAGCCAGAAAGAACTTTTGGTTTGACCTAGCAAGGTGTCAGACCTTTGATATTAGATCCAGATAAAAGTCTGATCCAAAACCCATTGACTTCAGGCCCACAGAGAAAGGAGAATGGTCTATAAGAGGAGCTATTCACTTCTGAGTGTATGTTTCAAACAGGTCAATGAATGAATGTCAGTTGTATGAAGTGGGAGGAAGCCTGGCCTTACACCATCAAGCCACATGAGAATATTGTGAAAAACAGCTCACCCTGTTATAGGGTGTAGGAAGAGGCACTTTGTAGAGAAGACTGTGAGGCCAACAACTGCCAAGTTGGATTAGCATTGTGGAAATACAACCCTTGTGGTCAAATCACTTGGAAATAGCTCAGCATTAGCACACAGTAGCTTAGCAAGCACTGCCTGATTTTGAGCATTGGAGGGGAACAGAGATAGCTAGCCTGTTGTGGGGTTTAATTAACATGGAAAAAAAGGTGACCAAAAAGTAAAAATCTTTAGAAAGGTATTGAGATACACTCGGCACCTGGAGTGCTAGCAACTTCCTAGATAAGCATTCATTCAAACGGTCGATCAAATTGATAACATTCCCCTAAAAGAAACAGCAGGATGAATGTAATTGGGAATTTGATAATTAGCTTTCATTTCCTTTAATACTTAAAGGCTAATGTTAAGAATTTTGAATGATGGCATCTCAGTTTCCCACTTCCTTACCATCTCAAAGTAGATTTGCATTCAAATGCACACATTGTTTTAGCAGTATGGCTTCGGTTAGTGCCATTTTGTGAATATTAATCCCTTCCAAAGGGATGTGATCATACTGAAAAGAGAAAGTAATTGCTTTGAGTAAATTTTTAGCCATCTTTTGTTTTTCTGGATTCCGTCTCCAATTATAACAATCAGTGCTTTGTATTGGCACAGTGCATCAAACTGGGTTGCCTTTTTAATTAAAAATGTCCAACCAAGCAATATCTTCACATGGCATTTCAGACCTTCCTAACAAGGGAATCTTAAGATATAACAGCGGGATACTGGAGATACTGCCATGCACAATCAGCCATGACAATAGTTTGTGGCTATTGAGGACAGAAAACCTCTCCTTCCTACCCAGTGTAGGCTGGACTGAATTTAGGGAAGAACTTTAAAAATCAGGGGCCAAGTTATAATACATTTTCATAAAGCCCACTGGATTTAATAACAGCAGATTGCTGGTATGTCTAAGATGCCAAGCAAAGAACTGTGTCTGGAGGATGCATAGCTTCCTGGTAAGAATAAGGAAATGTATTGAAAAATGTCATCCAAAACCCACAGAAATTTTTCCAATGATTTAATTTACTTCCAAGTGCTTTTGATCAGCCCCATAGTCCTGACTGCCAGGGCTTTATGAAACACCCACATCAGAGGATTAGTAGTGGGGGTGCTCTGTTTGGCATTTACAACCCCAAGAGGCCCTGGCATGGAGAGAAAAACAGCTAATGAGTAGACAATGAGTTGCCATCTTTCCCTCTGAGTAATAGCTGAAACTGGAAATATCCCACTGCCAGCTAAAACAGCACCATGTCTTTGTAATAATCCAGTGCACCAGACTGGGAAAATGGATCGCATTGCTCTTTTGAATGGTGTATATACAAAAGTACTGAAAGACACTTGGCCTTTTGCTCAAAGGGTACCAGAAAAAGCAATTCGCTGTAACTCATGGTTGACTTGTCCAGAATTCATGGGTGATATACATAGTCATAAGACTTGTAGGGAGAGAGGCCGTGATACAGTAGCCATTAAAATGGTGTCTATTATTGATTTGCCAGCATGATTTTATTTGTCCACTCTGTTAACTATTGTAATTTTACCCACAAAAAGGTAAACGAGAATCACCACAATCAGGACTGGAATTCACCGTAGTAAGGGAGAATCAGTCTTCAGGGGGAACAGTCCTCTCTAGAGTTGTAGACTAAAGTGTGTCTCATGGCTGTAGCTTTTGGGTGTCCAGAAGCAGCAAGGACTACAGGAGGAACCTGAGGCTGAGGCCTGTTTAAAGATCTGGGGGCAGGCTGATTCCAGGCAGAGTGTCTTTACAGAGATGGTGAATTCTTCAGGGTGCTTCCTTCTTTCCACCAGCATCGCCTCATTATGTCCCTGGCTTAGCTCCAGCCAGTTACTGATCTCAGCCATTCTCTGGATAACTGAAATGATACTTTATGTGTCTGACGTAAAAGTGATGTGGAGCTGTCTGCATAGTGCTGGCTTTTTTGGCCATGCTGTACCCCAGTTTTCCCTAATGATGTCATAAAGATGTTGAATTGCATGGGGCAAGGGCGGAGTCTCAGTGGGACTCCACAGATGGAGAATATCCTTTGAGGTATCATAGAATCATAGAATCATAGAATATCAGGGTTGGAAGGGACCCCTGAAGGTCATCTAGTCCAACCCCCTGCTCGAAGCAGGACCAATTCCCAGTTAAATCATCCCAGCCAGGGCTTTGTCAAGGTAGACAGTATCCATGCCAGGGCACCCCATTGTGGCCATGGATTTTTGCGAGATGCCTTTCTAACTTGACTTGGAAGCAGACAAAAAATGGATGATAACTGGAATTTGGAAAATGACAGTAGAGGCTGCGGGTTTTTACAACATATCGTATGGAAGGTTTTGGAGTAGACCTATGCTATAATTCTCAGGGAGGTGCTTAGTATTTCAGTGCCCACAGTGCTATTTGGGGCAGGCACAAGTCCTTAAAAGGTTAGGAATTGGGCTTGTATTTACTGTAGCCTAAGTTGCATTTTGCAAGAATACAATTGACTCATCAGACTTGCCTGGGGAAGTAAGTTTTCCAAAGGACAAAGCAATTTTGCAGCATACATCCTCATTCAGCTTTTAGGGAGGACAGACAGATTCCTTGTGTTTTTGTAAAGAATCTCTCATATTTCCTGGTGCCAAAGCCTACAGAGAACAAAATTTGTTGTGTCTTGAGAATTTCTCTTTTTGGAATAACTATCCCTAGCACTGAGTTTCCCCTCTCTCTGAAACTTTGGAGGCTGGATCACAACTATTATGGCTTTACCTCAGGTCCACCCCTTCCAGAAAACTGCAAGAGCTTGCTCTCTGTTTAGGTACTTATATGGCCCCCCATCACTGTTACATCTGAATGCCATCCAAGCATTTAAAAATAGACATAATGCTGCCTATGCTTCCTCCCGCCTAGCCTGTAACAGAAATAGCTTGATTAGTTTGTAGACTGTTTCCAGAGCTGTAACATACACAAGAAATGCGCCCAACTGGATCAAAAGCTTTAATTTTTTTAAAGGAAATGAAAAGTTTTACACAGAGAAAAAAATGGAAATAAAAGAACAACTCTCTCCCTCCCACCCAAAGCAAGAACAAAATGCCCAAGCCAGTAAATCTTATGATGCAATCACGTAATATTTTGGCTGGCTGGGTCAGAATGGCAGACCTGGTTATTCAGAGAAGAAACTGTCTTACCTAAAGAGCAGATATTTCCCTCACTGTCACAACTGGATATAAGCTGCAGGAATCATTTTTCCCAGTGAGAGTTTGGAGGCTCTCTCTGTATGTTTGTGAGCTGGACAATTTTTTTAAGGTCATATTTTTTTAACAGCTTTGTATGTTCTTCTCCATCTTGTCCACACCACTGTCAGTGCATCTCATCAAATGGTGTGAGTACATTGACATAGATGGTAAGCATAAACAAACCAAAACCCCAAAAGCAGTGGGAGGAAGCATGGCCTGAACTGATGACAAACATCACCTGATTCCCTGTGCAGATACCAACTCACTAAGGGATTATAGCAGACAACACTTGAGGGGTGACAGTCAAGCATTGATGTCTACGTCCTGACTTTGTTGCCTTGTGTCTTCATTCATGTTAATGAGCAGTGAGTGTAAAATGCTACTGACACAGAATGGAAGCATTGTCCATGCTCTTTGTAGAAATGACAGCACAAGCGGCAGGGCATGGAAGAAGAAGGCCCCTGACTTGTAATTTCAAGTAGCCAGGAGGGATGCTAGGTAGCCACTTGACACCTGCTCATAGGGAGTGTAGGATTTTGCAATGTTATCAGGTCCTTTACTTTGATAGCCTCAGCAACACAGAGTCCAGCCAGCTGACAACGGATGAGCCTGTCACCCAACAGTAAAGGGAAAGAAGAGGGATGTAGACAGTTGGAGGTGCTTGGTTTTTCTGATATAAAGGTTTGCTGGTTTCCCGTCTCCTCATGGATGGAGAATTCTCTATGCTGAAGGGGCGTGTTTGAGGAGGAGCACTGTCGAGTCTGAGGACAACCCTTGTGGGTAGAAGAGGTGCTGTACTGACTGAGCTGATGGTTCAATATCCTCTTTGCAGAGGTGATAGCCACCTGGAAGGGAGGAAAGGTCAAGGATGCTGGTTGTGTGGGTTCCAATGGAGTCATTACTAAGGCCTCAGTGACCAGGCTGAACTTCCATGCAGGGACTCAGTGTACTTCCCTGGGGTGTTTGTTAATGCTGCTGCTCTCTGAACTTGTTAAGCTAGGGTGTAAGGAGAAGAGAACCAGAGCACTAAGGGGAGAAATGTCCTGTAGAAGATAGAGTAGGTGTGAAATCTTGGCTGCGCTGGCCTCAATATTCCTGACTTTAGTCCAGGCTTTGAATTTCAGCCAAATTCTGCAAAATTCTCTCTCTGTGGGTTATTTTTGTTAGGCAGGGACTATGGACTCTGTATGGTTTAGGTACGAGAGGAAAGCCTGTGACAGCAGGTCTTTTTGCGCATGAAGCTGAAAGAGGGAGTAAGCATCTGGGTGACAGTGCTGGAATACTACAAACTGTATTATCCCACAACTCCCCATCTCACTGAGAATGTGCCAATTGCTCCAGGAATAAAAAAGGGAAAACTGTGGGAAAGAAGAATTTAAACCACTCTGAGCAGGATGCCATGTAAACCTCATAAGCCAGTGCAGCATGGAAAAGAGCCATGCTGCCAACAGCTGGGGGTGGGGAGAGGAGCAGGGGTTGGCCAAGATACATGCAGGAACTCTGAGATCAATTGGGTTTGCCTCCTCAATTCTTCCAGCCTCCATGCATGGGCCAGGCCCTGCCTATTATCTGTTCATCTGGGTTTTATAAAGTTGCCTATGTCTATGGTACCTGAACGTGTTCTGTGAGGTCTCTACCTGAAGCTGCCAGTGCAGGAAGCAGGAGAGGTGCATGGATGTGCATTTGAGGGCTATAATTGGCCCCATTTTGTTTTTCTCCAGCTCTTTCATATTTATTTTGATAGCTGTGTGATGAGTTGCTTGACTGGGGATCTCTTTTACAGGAATGTAGTTTATTCCAGACATTTTACTACTTTACCAAGGATGGCTTCTATTAATAATAGCAAAACTCACTCAAATGTTCATCTGAGACCATTATTTTTTAAATGGGATAAGTGAAATGCAGCACCAGCTTTACAAACTCTTCTGATGCTAAGACATGGTGAGGGCAATAATGCAGTTAAAATAATAAACACTACCTTTCAGATTGTCAATTATGCTTGGATGATGTACCAGATAAATCAACCAGCCAGCCAGCATTTCAAACCTCTAGTGTGTTTGGCAAGGATGCTGCTGAATAAAAGGCTTGTAAAGGAAAAAAAAATCCTGTAAAGAGGATTCTATTTGTTGTGTGTTTTCAAGGTCTAAGTTCCCTTAAGAAAGCAATATCCCAAAACTCCCTTTAGACTGATCTTCAAATAGAACAGTCATTTACTGCTTATTTAATTGAGATAATAGGAAAGTCCCAGCTGATTTATTAATAATTTCAACTAAACAGTTCGTTCTAAAGAAGCAAATAATGATATTAAAATAACATCACCTTCTGAAAAAATGTAATTACTAAGTCGTTAAGAAACATTGCTTTCAGGCTTCATTGCTTGTGGGGAAAAAAACCCAAGACAACCCTAGGTGAATTTTAATATGGTGCTAACGAATTGAGAAAAATAACCTTCTAAATTCTGGCAAATGATTAAGAACCTCATCCTGAAAGGTAATGAGCATCTGCTGTGAACTGTAGATTTTGGCAGGAGTTGGTGAGACAGAACAATGGGTAGGAAGTACTCAGTACCTCACTAGATGAGACCTCAGAAAAGAGCTAGCCTTGTATCCAAACAGCTTGGCAATCATATTAAAAACATGAAAATAAGATTGCATTAGTCACCTGCTTTGATGCATGCAACACTAGGGAGGTCACTCTCGATTGCTGAGAATTTTAATGTGTCTGTGCCACTGGAGACAATGGTAATATTGCAACAAAATTCAGTGACATCTGTATACATGGTATTGCTTCTCTGTGGCATTTTTATATCCTTGAAATTGAATACCTGCCTCTGCTGTGGTGACTGACTTACTCTATTTTGTTTATATCTAGAGAGAGAGCAAGCGCTTATGTGAGTAACTTTACTTATGGGAGGTATCTCATGGAGTTCAATGAGACATAAGATTAGTTATGTGCAAAAGTATTTGCAGGATCAGCACACTCAACTGTGAGCTCCCAGGGTGTGGACCATGCCTTCTCCACGGTATTATTCAGTTTGCAGCACAATAGGGCCCTGGGACTGGGACCTCTGGGTGTGATTGCATTATTAATATTTAACTGTAATAATTACAGCTCAGTGTGTAAATGGCTGATTTTACAAACTAAGAACAGCCTAATAACCTGTGTAAAGCAGGAGATTCACCCTCCCTTGAAGAGCTCTCCTGTTGTAATCCACCTCCCTGAGAGGTGGTTGCTCTGTCGGTGGGAGAAACTCTCCGGCTGTAATAGTGCTGTCTACATCAGGGGCAGTGAAACCCAGAGGATTCAGGGGGCCTGGGGCAAAGCAATTTTGGGGCCCCTTCCATAAAAAAAAGTTAGTTTTGCCACCCCAAGCGGCGAAGAAAAAAGAAAGAAAAGCCCAAGTTGTGCCGCCAAAGAAAGAAGAGGACATGAGGACCCGCTGCCGGAAGAAGACTGAAGCGGAGTGATTGAGTTGCCGCCGAAGTGCTGCTGATGAGAAAGAGAGGGACTGAAAGACCCACCGCCAAATTGCCGCCGAAATTGCCCCCGCCCTGCCTGCGGGATCCGGGGCAAATTGCCCCACTTGCCCCCCATCTCTGGGCGGCCCTGATCAGGGGTTAGGTTGGTAGAACTACGTTGCTCAGGGGTGTGGATTTTTCACACCCCAAGTGACTTAGTTATACTAATATAGGTATGTAGTGTATACCACATGTGAGATGACTCACTGGTGGGTAAGAGAATAGCCTTTGAGGTAGGACAGTATCCATGCCAGAGCACCCCATTGTGGCCATGGATTTTTGAGAGATGCCTTTCTAACTTGATTTGGAAGCAGAAAAAAAAGGATGATAACTGGAATTTGGAAAATGACAGTACAGGCTGCATGTTTTTACAACATATCATATGGAAGGTTTTGGAGTAGAGTTGTTCGGAGAACAGCTTTCTTCATATTGTGGAGTCTCAGATGAGCTTAAATCTACATCAAGACACAGGCTCTCTTTTAAAAAAGCATTTAGACAGATTAGCTGGGAGAGCCCTTCCAGTGCTAATTTAGGCCTTTACATTAAAGGATACAACGTATCATTTGAGTAAGGTAAGCAGGATAAAGCTGAATGTGTGTGAAGCTAACATTCTTCTTAAAGGAAGGGGACAGACTTGCAGCGGTAGCTTGGTACATAGAGGATTTATTGATTAATTTCTACTCTGTAATGTAGTTAAGTGGATGAAATGCAGTTTTACCTGTAACTTAACTATCTTAAGCAACGAGGAGGTGAAGGTACTGTTTCAGCTTCCTGGGTGCTAGTGGAAAACACAAATCTCTGTCAGGGTGTCTTCCTGGAAAATGTTACCTGTAGCACTCCTCACTGATATCTCACTGGAGCTGTCCTGTCTTAACTCATTCCATCTTAGCACAGTGTGAGTGAATCTCATTCCTGGAATATCTCATAGCATAAGAGAGGAAGGAGAAAAGCCCTGGCTCTTGAAGATGATGCCATAGTGCCTAAAGAGTCTTGTTTGGACTGAACTGTTGGTTCAGAACATTTGAATTAGAGTGGTGAGAAACCCTTCCCTAGATTCCAAAATAGATTTATGCAAACTGATGAGACTCTGCTCCTATGATTCTTCTAGGGCCTGATCCAGATTTATTATAGTCAATGGGAGTCAACTGGCCAAGGGCCTGGAGGAGCTACTCAAGGGGGAAAATCCTAATGCCTCCCCTTTATTATTTTAATTACCTTTTGGCTTTTTTGAATTTTAGACTTTGCAATTTCTTTGCTTACAGAAGTGATTTACTAAACGCTGCTATTTACATATATGGTACAGGGCTCACCGCTAGCAGCACCTCCTGCTGGCTGTCCTGAGCATTAGCTCTGCCAGGCACTGCGTTCCCCTTCTGGTGGTGTCTTTCCCCCATTCTGTCTCATCCTGTGACCCCTCTCACTCCAGGAACTCAGTCTCCTCTTTGTGGCTTGGCCCTCTGACCAGCTCATTAAGGCCCTTCCCTTTTGGGGAATTTAAAGTCCTTCCTCCCTAGCAGTCCTAGGCAGTCTCTGCCCCATAGAGCCACTGCCTCAGTGGCTGGTAGGGGAATGCAGGCCCACCCTCTACACTGGGTTCCAGCCCAAGGACCCTATAACAAGCAGCCAAGGCCTCTGCATGGTCCTACCCCTTGCTGTTGTTTCCCTGGGCTTCTTCCTACTCATCTGACTTCCCCTGCTCTCTGGGCTTTCCAGCCTCTCAATGTCCTCTACTCAGGGAATAACTGCAACTACACCACTGCCTTCCTGCAGCCCTCTGGCTGCTTATTGCTCACGGGGCTTTATCCTGGCCCCACCTGTTCCTGTTCAGCTGGGTCTACTTCTAATTTGTGGCATGCATCCTGGCTCTTCCTCTAGGTGCACCCAGTGGAGCTAATTGGCCTGGCTGGCCACCTTAACCCCTTTCAACCCCTTAACCACCTCATCACATTGTACTTTACTCAAATGAAATACTCATTGCCATTGTCACAAAAGCTAGAGAACTTTGCGCTGTGTAATGACAGAGCTAAATGCTGGCTACAAGACCATGCAAGTATGCTCATCCAGTAGCAAAGCCTCACTCCGTGTCAAAGGGCAGAAGAGAAGGGTTATTTGCTAGAGAATGAGGTCTGAGTGGGAAATATGGCATCACAGGCAGAGCTGGAAGCATCCCTTCTAGGGTGAAGGAAGGGGCAGCCCTGGTGCCAGAACCAGGGGGCATAGCCTGACCTGTCCACTTTCTGCCAGGGCGGATACTGCCCCCTTCCCCTCCTCTTCCCGCCCTGAGGCCCCATCCCTGGGCCAGGCCAGTGTGGAGCCTGGCTCGGGAG